CATGATATACGATAATTATAAGTCATATAAAGTGATAAATGTCTGCAACTATAATCTTTCTGCTCCTGAAACGTAAGGGGACGGCATTTTGAAATGGAGGCCCAGATAGCTGTAGCAAATTATAATGGCTGCGGTCTTTGACTATAGACCTCTGAATTTGTGTTGAATTTCTGTAGACCGTGTCGTGCCCATATTAGGAACTCCAGATCTAAGATGGTTTTTTTCTCTATGGGGGGAAAAAATGAATGTCATTTTCAGAAATCACCGTTATCACACCCTGTCGTAAATGTTCCAAAGCTCCAAAAATGGATATGTCCATTTTATGAGGTCATTAAGAGTCAAAATATTAATGTTGCTACATGAAAGCTAATACTGCTGCACATTTAACTGACGTTTTAGGGCTGGCAGCCTCACCAAAGTCCTCCAGACCAGCAAACTTGTGTTGGTTAAGTTGTTTTGGCAGTAGTAGGAGCTGGAACTTTATGAAAAGTCGTATGAATGCACAGGACTGTTAGCTTGGTTATAGCTTGTATGTAGCAATATTTGTATTTTGACTACTTAACAATCTCAGAGGATCCATGCCCACTAACGGGGATGATGTAGCTGCCCTTTACCCTGTTGTGTTAGCTTTGTTGGGTCAAGAATACATAGTTTAGTATGTTATTTGTCGTGTTATGCAAATTCTATAGCGTAGCGGTGCAGCATGCATCGCACCACTGGGAATTCCTGTAGTGTCAACCACCAGTCTTTAGGCTAATAAATACAACCAAGCTAGCATTAGTGTAATTCTTACTTCAAAACAAAATTGTAAAGAAAACAGCAGTTCTATCTTTATTCAGTACAAAATAGACCCTTTTGGGCTGAGAAAAGAGCCTAGATGTCTGGATAGACTTCTTTTATTGGTGTAATCTGGGGTGGGGGGGGGCGTTGAACGAAGTGAGGTGCATGCAAATAATTCTTCCAAGCACAGCAGTAGGTGTGCAGTCTTTCACAGAGAGCAGAGCCGGGTGGAGGTGCAGCTAGGCTAATTATTTACTAGTCTGTCGGAGAGTAGCAGGGAGGGAAGCACCGTCTTTAACCCGAGCTAGCAGATGGCTCGGGGCTGATGAACTGTCCGGGAGCCGCCGCTCCGTGTGAGATGCAAACACTCGGGAGAATACTCGCGCTCCCCCAGCAGCCTGCTCATTAAACAGCTCCCAGTCTCCCAGAGCTCCTCGCGTGGCTCGTCATGCCAAGGAAAATCATTTACCGTGTGTGTGTGTGTGTGTGTGTGTGTGTGCGTGTGTGTATGTGAGTGTGAGTCCGTATGTGTGAATGTGCATATGAGTGTGACTGATAGTATATGTATGTGAGCACAAGCTTCGTGTAGGCTTCCTCGCGTGCTTGCGACGTTGGAACCGTGAGCTGGTGTTGACTCATTTAGGGCTTTGATGAATAGTGAATTCTCTCCAGCGTTTATTTATATTGGCCTTTAAATCTACACTTTACTTTCATTATTACCTTCTCCCTCCTCGGGGAGCGTTTCAGCGCAAAATAATTTTGATTACGAAGCTCGCTGCTCAGTACTTTGGCTCGGAGTTAAAATGTTTTGTGTAGGCCTATCTGGCGATTTGAACGGAATCGTTAAGTGGGCACCTTGAGACCGGCTGCATAATTAGTTGATTTGCTGAGTGATACGTGCCGAATTGCTTCCTTTGTTTTCCTTCATGAATGAATAGGGGCGGATTGCAGAAGGGTGGATGCTAGCCTGCGTTAAGGATTCCCACTCACTGCGGTCTAGACGGATCCGGGAGCCTGACTATAACCGTGGTGTTGAGCGTGGTCCACTTGATGAGCCAAGCATAACACCAAGTAGCTTGTCTATGGGCAAGTCTACTAATGCGTACCACAGGCGTATAAACCACGAGCAAGCCAAGCCCAAGAATAGTCAGTGGCTGTGTTCACGTTGCAGACAATTCTGATTTGTTTTTTCAAATTTGTGAAGTGATAAGATTAAACCAGTTGAAATTCAGTCTGAACAGAATAAATTAGATCTCAAGAAATCATCAAAGTAGATTTTTAGACAAGCGTATAAATCTGACTCGACATAACTGACTTTTACAGGAGAAAGTGGATGAATACTTCACTAAATCAGTGTTTTATCTCTATTCCTTAGGCTAGCTTGTCAAACCTTTAGTGAGTTTAGTTCGGTTTGAAAAAATCAGTAGGTGCCTCCTTGTTAGCTTTATTTATTAGCTTTAGCTAGCTGTGATTAGCATTCAAGTGCAGTGCAACTTTGCCTCACCAGCGCCAGAATAGGTTCAAATGATTCAACAGCCACAAATATCCTGTTTATACGCTACGCACAATGCTGGCTGCCTCACAGTTAGACTTGTATGATGATTTGAGCTCTTCGTTTACTCTCTGAGGTTATTTTCAGCATCCAGGCACCACAGTCTTAAGCTAGGCTAGCTTAGTCCTGTTAGATTTCTTGTTCATAGTTCACACAAATGAGCGCGAAGCTCCATGTCTCCTCATATGGCCTGTACAAACACTGTTTAATGTTAAATGTTTCTGCCGAATCCATACATGTGGATGAAAGCGCTGTGTGACTGTTCTGCTGTGGTGTGTGGAGACAGCTTCACACTCCTTTTCTTTTCTGTATACAAAACAGCCTCTGGCTCTTTTTCTCCCCTGCCTGCCTACAAGCACAGGCTTTTCTTGAGCGATCAAATATTTTTGGTCTTGCAGTGGATATAGGTGGCTAGTGCAAGGTCAGCACATAGAGAGGGGGGAGAGAAATGAAAAAGTGAAATATGCAGCCCTTTACCTACCGGAGTTCCAGTGCTGCTGCTGCTGCGAGAGCTGAGGAGAATTAAAAGGTGAGAAGGCCTTTGTGCCTTAAAGGCAAGAACAAAATGGAGGAGAAAAGGAGACGAGCGAAAGGCAAAGCACCTGTGAAATAGATATAAGGTCAGTGTGGATTGGTGTGGGTGTGTGTGGCTGGTTTGTTGTGCTACAGTGGCAGTAGCCCTCAGGTGACCACACCATAGGACTCCAGGGAGCAGTATTTTGCTGACCCGTCCCTGAGGGATCTTGACCGATCTTGAAGATATGAGAGAAAAAGGACACAAAGAAACACTGGCTGCTGTATTATCACTCACCGTGTTTCTTACCTAGGTTTCTACCTGATGGTTGCAGCCTCACTGTCATGTCAATATCTCATAACTTTTCATTTTGTTCCGTTATTTTTTTTAATACCACTGAAAGTGCTGCTCTTCACATTGTGTGGATATTTTGTATGTATTGGAGAAACAGAAATAGTCCAAAATTATTCAGACCTGTTATGTTTGAAGTACATTGACATTAAAAATGTATAAGCAGTTGGGCTTCAAACGCATGTAGTAAATTATTACTTTTGATTTTATGTAGTATTTCTTGTTTTCAAATGTGCTGTATATACATACTTATTGTCTCCGCCTTAGCTTTATTTAACTCTTACGTGTGTGTGTGTGTGTGTGTGTGTGTGTGTGTGTTCTGTTTCTGCCAGAAACAGAAGAAGAAAACCTGCTGCAAATCGGCCTCCTTGTGTTCTAGCTGCATTCTAATTGTATGCTGAATAAGTTACTTGTGTATTGTAACTGAATACAATACAGAAGATTTAGGACAATGTGTTCTGCCCAACTCTATACGACTATGTTGATCACACTATCATATAACAGTATTCACCTCACGCTAGTGTTTGGCTTTTTTTTTTCGTTTGGCACGTACACTGACTTCTGTCAGAGCAGCTGGGTTTGTAAATAAAGCGGGATATGCGGAGTCACACGCTGTCTATGTGTCTCTCTCTCTCTCTCTCTCTCTCTCTCTCTCCTCTCTCTCTCTCTCTCTCGCTCTCATTCTCGCTCTCGCTCTCTTACTTATATTCTCTCTCTTGCTCTTGCTCGCTCGCCCCCTCCGAGTGGCTGGCTGGGAGTGACTCATTAGTGTCTACTTTACTTCCTAATCAACGTATGATTTCTCCGCCTCTCTTGGCCCGCAAGCATGGGCACATCAAACACTATTTAAATGAGCAGCTGCATTATTCAACTCTGCCTTTGTAGTGGCACACGCCAGTCACACGGCAGCCCTGCCTCCACCCCTTCCCTTCCCCCTGTTGAGTCTCACTCCTGTTTCACTCATGCACACACACACGCAGTCACATACATCTCTTAGCCAACAGGGGATTGAAGCCTCCACTTCCTCTTCCTCTCTTTCTCAAGCTGTCTGGATTCTTGTTATGGAGTTTGTCGCTGTGTCTCAAATAGAATACTTGCGTACTGCGCTCGCCGCTTTTAGCGTGAGTAGCGTGTTCGTTCCGGGAAATGAAACGGGATGTAGGGTACTGTAAAAAGTCAGCTGATGTACTAGAACCGCAACAAACTACCATTTGTACTAAGAGACCACCTCAGTTTTAAACTCTCAGAAAGGCCAACTCACCAAGCAAAACAGCAATGTTACAATATTGCAAACAAAGAGTAAAAACTGACTATTTTTAATTTAAAAATTGGTAGGGCTGGCCAGAACATCATTTTACAGGCATCAAATCCTTGTTAGTGCGGTTCAGCACAGCATTACCAGCAGAGCAGCACTGCCTGAGGCTGTGGAGGTAAAGTGCCTTGCCCAAAGGCACAACCAGGTTTACCCAGTCAGACCTGGGGTTTGAACCCGCAACCTTAAGGTTGCAGGCTTACCCACTAGACTGCCAAATATTAATAGAAGAATGAATACTGATATAACAAGTATTTCATTTAGCATGATTCATCAAACTGTCTCTCAATCATACCAAGAATATGTGTTCGATATAACTCTTGATATAATACAGTGATTGGCTAGTGAAAGTTGTTGATCCTTAAAAAAAAAAAATAGGTCGAGCCCTGGCCGCCCCGTTCTGCAGTCCAGGTGTTGCCCAAGTTGAGGCACATGGTATGTGTTCTTCCTCATTTTAACTCTCTCACTTTCTCTCTCTCTCTCTTTCTCAGGCTTTCATCTCAGCGGGACAGTAACAGAACCGGCCACGCCATCTGAGCCAGAGGTGGTGTGTAGTGTGGCCATCAGCTTCGACCGCTGCAAGATCACTTCGGTGACGTGCGGCTGTGGCAACAAGGACATCTTCTACTGTGCCCATGTGGTGGCACTCTCTTTGTACCGTGTACGGCGGCCCGAACAGGTCAAACTGCACCTGCCCATATCAGAGACACTCTTCCAAATGAACCGCGACCAGCTGCAGAAGTTCGTACAGTACCTCATCACCGTCCACCACACAGAGGTGCTGCCAACAGCCCAGAAACTGGCTGACGAAATCCTGTCACAGAACTCCGAGATCAACCAAGTACATGGTGAGGGAAGACAAATGCAAAACAGGGGCTCATACGTGGTTCGAATGATTAAAAATGGCTGATTATTAAGGTTCTGAGAAGTTTCTAATTTGCCATATAAAGTTTACATCGGGTAGAGATGGGATGATATCACTCTTTCTTTCCTGATATCGAAACCTTGCTGATACTCATCTGATTCGCTATTTTTTTTCTTTAAAAAACTACACTTTAAAATGAGCTATTTTTATTTTAAGTGTGAGTGAGTGCTATTTCAGGATAGATTTGTTACAAAATTGGATCAGATTTATTTTTTTCTCCTGATATCTAATCCAGTATTTTCTGCTGATGTCGGCCTGATACCAATACTCGTCTGTACTAATACTTCGTCTCTAATGTTGGGTTATCTGTTATCCATTATTTTTAGGTTCTTAAAATCACCATTATGACAATTATTTTATATCAGTTAAGTAAGGGTGGGCAATATGGCAAAAATTATGACATTTTAATACTTGAATACATATTCACAATACATTATCTGCATCACAATATTTTGTTTTTCTACGGTTTGGAACAGACAAAAAAAAATACAATTAAACAATATGAATGCAATGATTTGTATTCACATACTGTGCTGGACTAAATTGACCTAATTATGCTCTCTTTGTAGTGAAAACATGCATTTGATCAGTGCTCTTTGCCTACTAACATTTACAATATGCTCAGAAAAGTATTTTGCATTAATCACAATAACGATAAGGTGACCACCCATACAGCTGAGCCCTAATTCAGTACATTCATACGTGCTCTCAGATCATCAGATCATCCTTGGAGACTACCAGAGCTGTCCTGCTATTCATAAATAACTGGGGAAAAAAATAAACTGAAAAATCACCCAAGCTTCAAAACTCTGAAACTACATAATTGTCCTTGCCAAAGATGCCCGTATTCATCAGAGTGTTCCACATGTTTGTCCACTCCAAAAGAGCCTTTATTTATTCATTTACTCCAAACCCACTTTCCTATAAACACATTGGCTAAAATCTTTTCACTAGAGGTTTTTATTCCCTCACTCCAATGGCATCCTCAGCTTTATAGCCCCATTTCCAGCAGGGTCCCCCCTTATAGTGGATTGGTTCATCCCTGGCAAGCTTGACATAAAGCTCAGAGTGGGGGTGGGGGGGTGGGGGACTCTTGCTTCTCTTGTCGTGTCTGCATGAGGCACAATGGCCGTATTATATTTCACTTTTGTCGGGAAAGGGGAAATCTAAAGCGGATGTTCCAATTATGGAAAAAAAAGAGCCGGTTAACTGGCACATTTTGGAGTGAAAAAAAAGGAAGTGCTTTCATCAAGGCAGGGCTGTGCGGGTTCACGGCTGGAATGCAGGAAGTTGATTTGATGTGGTGCTTCGTAAATCTTTATAACTTGACTGTAAGCGTTTAAATCATCAGACCTTTCTTTTGTTTGGGGTTGGGGGCTTCCTCCTCGTCCACACACATGCAAAGCATTGGGCTCTTTTTGCTCTTTTCAAACCCAAACAGACCTCCCCGATCTAAGAGCCTCATATGCTGTCTGGACTGGATTAGTACTGATTGTATTATTTGGCAACATGCTGACAAAATATGTTGGCCATTTGCTTTTCTCTGGTTTCGCTTATCTGGGCCTTGTGTTGGTACACCAGCTTTTATCCTCTTTTATGCATCACCATAATGCTTTCATGCCTAAGAACATGTGCTTCATCACTTTAACTGGTTTGTGCTGCACTTCCTTTGTGTACTTTAAGGCATTTGACTGATTGTATTTGTTGTGTGTATTAGGGGCACCAGACCCCACGGCAGGGGCCAGCGTGGACGATGAGAACTGCTGGCATCTGGACGAGGAGCAGGTCCAGGAGCAGGTCAAACTCTTTCTGTCCCAGGGGGGCTACCACGGCTCGGGGAAGCAGCTCAACCTCCTTTTCTCCAAGGTTGGATGGCTACAATAAGAGTCTTTACTGGGCCAATATGATCCTAGTTACACCAGTATTTTTTAATAACATAATCAGTATTATTCCAGATACATATGCTAAATGATTCTGATATCATACTGGTCTCAAATAATTTGTGATGAATAATCACAAATTAGCTCTATTCCATGATAATTTAGCTCTGTAAGTAACTTTTGAGTAAGATTAAAAAAAGTCATTTGTTTAAGTTGTTATTGAGCCGAATAATAAAATTGATCATAAGTAGTGATGCACTGAAATGGAGTCAAAAATGAGATTCAGAACGCACTTGGCCGAAAAAAAAAAGCCGAAACTGGAAAAAGCTCACAGTTTAGATAAAATAAACATAGTAAACTTATTACAGTATGTAGACTACTGTATTTGCCACAGAATCATCAGAGAACTGTTTTGTCTTCCAAGGCAAAAATTGATTTTTATTTTTAGTTATTTTATTAATTTTTTAATCATTTTAAAAATTGCTAGTGCTAGCAGAAATGTTCCTTTTGGCTTCTCTTTTGTTATATTATTCTGTGTATAAAGCAGAATGTCATGTTTTCAAGTGGGATCAAACCTATAATGGAAAAGTTGTTGGGTTTTCTTGATACTTTACGTGAACAGAGATTATGTATTGTTGTCTAATGAACCTTGTAGAAACTGCGAAATGGTTCAAATTGGCAGATATTTTCACTGTTAATCTGCTGCTGCTCAAATTGTCTGACTGTGTCTGTGTTAACCAGTGCAGGAGAATGAAGAGTACAAACAGTGTCATTTATTTCTATTTTTCATTTTCATAACCGTTTAAAATTGTAAAGTCATAGATGTTGACGCTTCATTGCATGTCTGTTTTTATCTTCTGCAAATTTCTGCCCTGTTTTTCTCCTCTTCTCTTTTTTGACTATTTGTTTAGGGATGCACTGAAATTTCAGTGCATCCCTAAACATAAGCGATTCCAAATGTTTGGATGTTAGTGAATATTGTAAAGTCACAGCTGCTGTTAGTCCTTTCCCAGGCCTATGTGCTAATTTCTCCTACTTTGTATGTGTCTCTGTGTGCGCATTCTGCAGGTTCGGGAGATGCTAAAGATGCGGGACTCGAATGGGGCACGCATGCTGACATTGATCACAGAGCAGTTCATGGCTGACCCGCGGCTTGCTCTGTGGAGGCAGCAGGGCACCACCATGACAGACAAATACCGTCAGCTCTGGGACGAACTGGGTGAGTACAGCATCCTCTCTCTGCACAGTGTACTGGGCTGATATTTCAACTGTTGGGTAAATTCCCAAACAGATTCAAGCCCATAATATGCAAGCCAAGGACAACAGTGGCAAGGAAAATGTCTCTAGTAATGAGAAACAGAGTCAAGAGAGCATCCAGGCTTGAAAAGGGACTGCGTTCTCTTTGGGATGACACTAGAAACAAATGTGTTAGTAATGTTTGTTTAACGATACAGTTAACTTACAATGAATACTAACAGTATGTATCAATGATCGGATTGAAGGATGTCAGTATGTATTTGCGTAAGGCATATAGCCTCTTTACAACAACACGGAATGCAACAGTAAATGGCCTATATGGCTGCCGGAAAGGCTGCTAAAAAAGGAATACTATTTTCTCCATCTAACTTCATTATGGATTGCTAGTTATGTAAATGGCTAACTGTGGTTAGCAGGTCAGTTACAAGCTAGATGCAGCTTTGCTAGTTGTATGATCATCGTATTTATACCTAATATCCTCCTTTTGCTAGCAGTACGCATCATTTCAACTAGTTTGTGAAGTGGTTTGCGTAACTAAACAGTAGGCCTCATTTCGGTTATGTAGGCTGGGTGAGCTTGTGTAGAGTCTATTCAAATTGCACTGCATTCAGAATGTGTGAGCCTCATGCTAAGCCCACCTGCATCTCCAAGGACCGCCATTTAGAAGACTCTTCCGCTGCCAGTTTGCACATTTGCAGCATTTGCTCTTGATCAATATTGCATATTCTTTTCCCACTTAAGGCCCCCCAAGGGCTTTCTGGCTAAAATATTGTGATGTAAGTTCAAAAGCTGGAGTTGCAGTCTAGTACAACACCCTTTTGTAGAAGCCTGTGAAACGCTGATCCTTGTTGTTCCAGACCAGTACCGCAGGACAAACTTTAAGGGCGGGTCAGTGAATGATTTTTGGGGGTATTATATCGTTATGGTTCACTGGCCGAATTGTGCAAGGAAAAAAATGCCCAGTGTGTTTGAAGCTGCGTTATTGGAACGAAAGCAGTGCAAATTGGATGGCTGTGTAATCATTTTAATTGTGACTGGCTTGCCACGGCTTCGAGCCTGCCAATGCTCAAAGCCCTGTGATGTTTCGTCAATTTTGCCTTGGCACCCAGGCCGGCCGGCACAATAGAGCGGGTCTAGGTCCCTGGGTGCAAGGAGAGAGATTCGGGGCTGGCCTGAGAATGAAACAACTCCAGGAAAGCTTAAAGCCATAGTTCGGTGCAAAATCAAATTTACACAATTGTCCCCTTATCCAAGCATAGTCAGTCAGCCAAAATGTGTTTGTTTCCAGTTTTCTGCTGGAGTTATGAGGCTAATGTAGCTAACAAGTAAGCTTATGAGCACAAGTAGTATTGCACAAGCGCTATGCTAATTCATCATACACCATGTCAGGTTGCAGGTTGTCAAGTTATCTGAAATAGACACGCTCATGTGGTTTGACACCTTTATGACAAGCTGTTATCTATAAAAGTAGACAGAAGTGCATTATACAGCTAAAGTTGCAGTAGCAGTCATGTTGAAGCCTGAATTTTCTCTATACTGTATTTATCAGTGTCTTGTACAGTATATTACTTGTTAGCTACATTAGTCTCATAGCTTCAAACACCCAATATGTCTTGGTTATTCGACTATGTTAGTTATGAAGGGAAGATTGTGTAAATTAGATTCTTCTCTGAACTATTGCATTAAGTAATGCTGGGTTGAACTGAAGCCTGAAGCTGGACACTACCCTTTGTCCTTTTGAACGCGCTATGTGAATTTTTGCAAGGTAGTGGAGACCGGGGGAGTTTGGGGAGTCTGAGTGTAGCAGGCACTTCCACGTTTGATTGTGTTTGTCAGGGGGCCGCTAACAAGAAGGGGAAGAGAGGCCCCTCAGTCACAAGGGAAGTGGGCTGTTTAAGTGGCCTCTACATGGGATATGCACTAAGGAAGGCACTCGAATTAACATCTGCCCTTAAAGCATTGAAGATCATGGAAAATAAGCATATCCAACATAGTTAACTTCTGTTTGGTTAACACAAGATTTTGTGCACAACAGTAGCTTTTCATCCAATTCAAATCATAATGAATCTGAAAAGTGCTGATGATGGGATCCAGGGGTTGCAGTGTCTACAGTGCAAACATAGCCATTTTATGTGCTATCCAAAATGACCAGTGTATTATTTTGCCTTACAATACCCTGCAGGTACCTCTGTGCCATGAATGCATTTCAAAAATACTTTTTAGGCCAAAATCATGTCTCAAAAGTGTCTTAAAACATTGTCTCAGTCATCAGACAACATATTCATTGCTATTTTGTGGTTAATAACTTCATGTGAGTGAGCTTCTATGCATGAAACTCTTCAGATGTCTAGTTCCTATCACCACCGCTGTGAATAATTCTAACTTGTCATATCAAACCATGCTGCATGACTAACATGTTAACCCTTCAGTTATGCATAAACTCATAAAGTGTTTATTAGCAATTCTGTCACCACAAACCATACCTACCACAACCACTACTGTAGTAACAGCAGCAGTAGTAATGTTGTTGTTGTTGTTGTTGTTGTTGTTGTTAATAATGTTTATTATTCAGTAGTAGTAGTCGTCTATGCATAGTGTTCTGTAAACATTTTAGTGTTTGCCTTTTATTTAACAGTAGTATTATATGAGACTTTTATTATTAGAGCATCATTCCTGCTGAATGCAAGTAAAGTTGTTGCAAGCAAAGTGTTGGCAAAACAAGCTATCTGCATTTTCAGTGGGTTCTTTAAATAATTCCATTCACTTCTTAATAATGCTGTCATGAATGAATCCAGAGTCATATTTACATTACAATAATAATTTAGTTTCATCTACGTAACAGTCAGCTTTTTGTTTGAATGCTTCCTCTTGCATGCAGCACTCTATTTTTGCATTTAACACAGTCAGCATCAGTTAAAGCTGATTTTAAATAGCTTATGTTGGGTGAGCAGCCACTGTGTGTGATGGGTGAAGCACATTTACCCATCTGATGTCAACATTTAGCCTCAGAAAAATGAGAGAAATTATTTGTGAGCTGGATTTAAGGAATGGTAAGTACATGATGGGCCTTTTGAAGCAGCCTGTACTGAGGGCCGGTATTCTGAGACCCTTGCAGTGGAGGCTTCTCTCTTCAACTCAGGTGTGTCTCTGTGGCAGCCATTTTGTATGGAGGAGCGTTCTTTCTCTCAGTAAAAGAGCGGCTCTACCCCATTAAAGAGCAAGAAAAGAGTGAGGCGGGCCACATCTCAACCACAACCTCTTTTTCTCTCTCTCTTTCCTCTATCTGGCTCTCTCTGATGAATCACTAGGCCTGTCAGGTCCGTAATTGGAGAGGCCTTCGTTATGAAGGCTGCCCCTCTCTCTGTCTCTGTCTCCTTCCGTCCCTCAGCCCTTCCCTCCACCTCCTCCAGCTCCTGACAGGAGCGATAATGCTAAGACCGTTTCATTAAATCCCGGACACTTAATGTGACACCAGCGGTCAGGTAGGAACTACGGGGGGGATGAGGAGCTGGAGGAGAAAGAGGAGGAGGGGGAGGTGAGGTTACAGCATAGATTTATGCAGTCATACAGCCTCTTCTCTCTTGCTCTCTCTCTGCCGTGAGAGGGCCCCTTTTGTTGAGGGGAACAAAGGCATCTTTGCCTCAGACAGGGCTCGGTGGGCACAGCGAAGGATGCTGTGGGTTTTGGGCTTGCTGTACGTGTGTTAGAGCCCAAATTATATGAAAACACTCACAGATACAATAGCTATTTTAAGGAGCTAAAAAATTGAATATCAACCAGTGTAGTTTTATATGGTCGGTTAATTTAGCTAACCTTTTAAATTCTACATTGTTTCGAAGCAAAAGGCATCTTTTTGGCCAAAGCAGTCAGTGGAACTTCAGTATTGGACAATGTTATTAACCAAAGGATATATTGTTCACCCCCTATTATGAGAGACATGGAGATTGAAAGAGAGTCTTTGTGCTGAATGAGCAGGTTGATGGAAATGATGAGATGGGAAGTGAAGGCTCAGATCAGGCCTGTGAAAAGAGCAGCTATGGGGCAGAGGAAGTGTGCGTAAGTGTGTATGTGTGTGTATGGGTGTGCATGCCTACATGTGTTTTGCGCATGTGTGGATTAATTTATACAGTGAAGCCCAATATTGTTTTAATTAATCTGGGCATGGGGGCCTTTGTGGTGAAATCGACTCCTTTTCATCTAGTTTGCGTCTGAGGGAAAAAGGCGAAGGAGGGGGCGAAAAAAAAATTAGGCCATGACTTCTCTCTACTGACATAATTACACCAGCAGGCTCTAATCCTTTACATTATCCGCCCCACAGCCGAACACGTCGTACAGCAAGACAATGGGAAGGTAAAGGCACAGTAGATGCTCCATTAGGATACGGCACCATGTTTAGTATTCTCCTCGCTACCTTCCCCCAGCATGCAGGCTTATCTTGATCTTTGTCATAATGAATTACAGCTGCTGTGGCTGCCTGCGCTCCCTCGCCTCAGCGTTTCGTGAATGGCGAACAGTGGAACAATAGGATCCTCTGATTATTGAGGGTTTACCAGCAACCGAGCCACGTCTAGCGGTCTAGCAGAAAAATAGCTTCTGCTCAAGCGGCTTGTTGTGCTTTGCCGACGTTTTCTAGAGCTGGGGTTGCGATAAATACTTTAGTCAAACACCTTGATGACGATATATGTGGTGATAAACAAGAGGAAAAAAGAAATCACCAATAATCACTATAATGACATTCACAGAGAATACATAACTACAGTACAGTGGTAGGAGTTGGGTGCATTTGTAAAAGCCTCAGTAATAAATGAATGTCTCATCGCATTACTAGGGCTTGTGAACACATTAGCTGGCATTTATCTGAGTTTTCCTGGACATGCTCTCCTCGTACTCTCCTTATCGCAGTGGTTTGCGAACTGGGGGCCCCTGAAGGGGGCCAAAGAAAACTCTAAGAAGTTGTATCTCTACTCAGTAAGTTTTCATTTCAGTTTATTGAATCTGCTTCAGCCATAACTACAAATGTGGTATCTGTTAAAAAATGGTAGATGTTCTTCAATACTATTAAAATTACATATGTGCCAACCAATCACAATTCATGGCTATACCTCGCTCACTAAACGTGGTGTCTGAAATGTCATAGAACAGGGCAATGTCTCTGTGTGCAGGTCAGCAATAGCTAGGAAATAGGCAGTGTTCTGGCAAGTACAGCAAATCATATCGCTTTCTCCACTAGCTGTTGGCTGCCTTCAGGACATGTTGGTAAAATACAAAAAAGGCAAGTGTAAGTTTGGATGGCCAGTGTGAGGCTGCGTTCACAAGGACTTCTTGGCATCTGTCAAAAACATAAATCTGGCTATTGATTGCAGTGAATAAAATTTTGAAGTCATTTGACTGTCGACCACACCAAGGCATGACGGTGTGTGAAATTTATGCTTGAAAACAGGTTGGTGATGGAGCGTACCCATGTGTCAGCCAATAGCAGACATGTTGTTTAAGGCTTCAGTTAGTCATGTTGATGTTAAATGGAGTGAAGGAGACCTTACCTTACATCCAGAGCTAAAGTTATAGTATGGAAGAGATTGGTTTGGATAAATCTCATGTGGTTTTTTGTCTTTTCTTTTCATTTTATGAAAAAAGCAGCAAAAAGCCATAGTGTTATCGTAGTTACGTCAATCTCTGCCCACTGTCCGCTGTTCCACTGTTTTTTGAGGCATACCAACATGTCTTTTAAATGCGGCCTAAAAGCACTTGAGGAGTTGTAGGCCTGTTCTGTGCTGATGATCTTCTGCTGCATGTTTGTATGCATTTTGAATACACTCCTGGGCAAAAATAAGGGCCAAGCCCAAAATATAATGGTTTTTATTGATGATTTTGAACTGGTCAGACTCCAGATTTAAAGAAACTGTATATTGGTCTTACATTAAACACAAACTAGCTCAGCAGTGTTTTTCAACTGTTTGAAGTCGTCAATGCTGAGTGGGAAAAGTACCGACTCCTCCTTCTTTAAAAGGTTGTCTGCAAATTTACACGCAAAACTTCAACATTTATAGAAATAAAGGCAAAAAGCTATCCTATATTAAGTTACTTTATGATTTGTTGTTAAGCCTAATATTTTGCCATTTTTTTGCCAAGAAATCTACATTCAACATTGTAATTGTCCCTTCACTTGATGTCTATAGACATGACACCCATGCTTATCGGTGAAAATTTGGCATTAACCTGGCCTGGGCGTGGCTGAAGGCATGGCCAGAGATCAGTTTTAAATTGGTCAGCCATCTTCCGGGCTTTCGTCATGCAGATTTGTACCCTCTCTTCACGCACTTCCTTCTGTTGTCATTGATGCCCAAACAAAGGCTCTCCCAGCTTCTCTCCTCGTGTTCCTTTCCCCTCCCCCTCTCTTCTCATCTCATCCTTTCTTCCACATTTCCTCACTTCACTCTCTGCCTCTCGCCTTCAATCTCTCGCCTCTTTTCTTCCTTTTCTCGCTCTTTCATCCTTTGTCTGCCTTTGCTCATTTTTTTTGCTCTCTCTAATTGTTCCTCTGCCATCATATATTTCTCTCCACCACACCCCCCACCCCCCCACTTCTGTCTGTACACTGCAGGTATTCTCAATATGTTATTGTGGTTCGCTCAGGGAGTGATTAAACCATCATACACCAGCCGTATGGCACGGGCCTCTCACCGGAGCCCATACATCACAGCCTAATGCAGCCAGCGGGATGACTTAGAGCTCACATGAAGGCCTGATACTGCCAGCCAGGGAGACGGTAGCAGTTTTTGCCCTGAGAGAGAGAAAGGCATTATCGATCTAGTGTTCGCTGAGAGCTTTCTGTCATTTTTGGTTTGTATGTGTCAGTAGGATGTACCTTCAGAGTTCCACAAGAGAGTTTTTGGGAAGCGCTAGTAAAAGTGTTGAATTGCAGTAGGCCGTCTGGACTAAGAAGGGACAAAATAGCCAAATGTAACAAAACCGTATTTCTCTGAAACAGTGTATTCACGGGAGAACGATAATACTGCATTTAAAGTGCCCATATCATGGGAAACAGAATTTTCCTCCATTTCTTGAAATTTTTTTGACGTATAGAAACACTGTTAAACCCCGTCCCCCCATCCCAGTCCATACAGTCTAAACTAAGCTGCAAAAACAACCTGGTGTGAATTCATTGTTTCTGCGATGTTAAAGCTGTTAATTCAACAGCGTGTTTAATTCGAAGCAATAAAGGGAGGTTATAAATGGTCATGTCAATAGAATTGTGACTTTTTGCTACATAAAACCACAAACATAAGTTTAAAAAATACCTGAAAAATACCTGACTTATCTACGATATGGCCTCTTTTAATGTAAGTTAATGTAACTAGATTTTATAGTAAATGATTTTTGGCTGTTTTTATTGGTCCAGTCATCATAAAATGTCCGCGAAATGTAAAGGGCAGCTGCCATTTTCAAATGCTGTAAACATAAAACGGAGGGGGGGGAGGTTTTGATATAACTGTGACAGTACATTAATGCATGAAGTCCATATGAATTTTCAAAGGCGTTGTTCATTTTGGCTGTGCTTCAGCAGAACGCAGACTCCTACCACCATTGTCTCTAATTGACCCCTTTTAAAAGAATCAATCACTGTTTGTCAGGCCTCGGGACCCTTCAGAGAATACACACAAAAGACTGGCGCCAATTATGCCAGGACGGGAAATTAGCACAGCATAGATTTGCATGTTTAGCATCGGAACAAACCGGGAACGGCAAGGGGTATTTAGCTTTAATGCTTTAGCTTCAGCTTTAGCATTAGCTGTATAAAGGTACGTGCCCCTCCTAGGCCATTTGTCCCTGTGAAAGGTGACCAGACTTATTCGAGCAGTCAGCTGACCTATTTCTTTGTTTGTCTGTCTAAAGTAATGAAGCTTTGGACGGGGTGTTTGCAGCTTCTCGTCTGGGAGCCTTAACAGGACTTGTCTAGCCTCGTGCTTGGGCATCGTATGAGGCTTGCTTTTTTTTCTTCCAACAATCAGATCGAGAATGGAACATCAGTTATGATTTAGAGTAAGCATATGGAAATGCAGCACATTTTCATTGTTTCTTAGCGTGGAGGTCGGTGGCCTGATAAAGCTTCTGATAAGCTCTATTATGCTAGGTTTGTTAAACGTACAGGGAATTTTTTCTTGAGTGCATGTGTGTCACATATGTGCAAGAGTATTAACTGAGGTTCAATATGAAACATTATTATTCAGTGGTAGCTTTTGCAGTGTAGATTGACATTCTAAGGTAGACATTCAAATGTAAACTGCTGTTTTATTAGAACAAGTTGTTGCTATGGAAGAAAATATTGTTAATAAATAAGACACTTCATCTGTTCATGGTTGTTTCTTGTCACATTCAAGTTACTATGAGTAGCTATTTGATCATTGTGATTTAGTCACTACTTTTTAAAAATTATATAAATTTAATTGTAAATTCGGTTTTAATTCTCTACAGCAGGGGTTTCCAATCCTGGTCCTGGAGATATAACACTGTGGAGAGTTAAATGCCTAGTTCTAATATCCAGACACTCCTAGATTGCCTTCATTATCTGGATCAGATGTGTTAGATTAGGGTTGAAGCTAGATTCTGCAGCGTGGTAGATCTTCAGGACAAGGATTGCCCACCTCTGCTCTACAGCTTTCTCAATCATTATGGAATCATCTACAGCTCTATTCATCATCAAAAAATTTCTTCCTACCTTTTGTGTTTAAACCTATGGAATATTAGTCCCACGGGTCCAGAAGTGTTCTCATAACAAGAAAACACGTTTCTTTTATTTTTTTTTTTTTGCTTAACTGGTGGTTTTTGGGGGGGGATTTCAGCCATGTTAACTGACTTTATATCCGTGGGTTAACAACAGGCTTGTCAGTGTTGAAGAGCACACTATCACCCCAACTAACAATAATAATAATAATAATAATAATAATAATAATACTAATCTTTATTTATAGAACACTTTTCATACTGGTGGCAAATCCCACCCTAATAAGTCTATGGTCTCACCCACTTTTAGCTTAAAATTTTGCACTGTTGTCCCCAGACATTCTCATGACCATATCATGCATTTCCTTGTAAGGCTAATATATACACATATCCTAATAGAATCCTCTTATGAATGTATCCATAACACAATTAGTTTTATATTATTGAAAACATTTATTCCAAATTTTCCAAGGGTAATGTAGATATGGTAGATATAATTATTAGAGGTATAAAACGTATGAATGTGCAAAGACGAAGAAGACCTTGTATTGCAATGTGATCTGGACAATTACACAGTATTACTGATGCATTTGAGGGTCGTTTATTGCAGGAAGAACAGTTCTGAAGGAAGAGGTTCTCTTGCCTGCGCATGATTAGAACCTACATGATTTTCCTCTTACTTCAAATGTAGCTGATCAGCTGAGACATGTTTGGTGTCTTCAGAGTTTGCTTCTTTAGTTTTGCGCTGGAGCTACAAGGCTAATAAGTAGTGAAAGGTAATGTACAACAATTAGCCCTATGCAAAATCATCACATACTTGCCTCAAACCACGTCAAGTTGACAATTATACTTGCTTACATAGTTGAATGATATACAATTAAGTGTGAAGCTAACATATATAATATTCTGTTGTGTTAGCATTATGCTAACTGCACTGTGGGAAGACCATAGTGTGGGGTGGAGAAAGTTCTCCACCACCACTCCTCCCTCTCTCTGTTTCTCTCTCTCTCTCTCTCATCATACCAGTGTGTTTAACCACGCCTCTCCTCTGCTCCGTTCCCCAGGTGCCTTGTGGATGTGCATCGTGCTGAATCCTCACTGCAAGGCCGAGCAGAAGGCTGCCTGGCTCCGGCAGCTCAAGAAGTGGAACGGCGTGGACGTGTGCCCCTGGGAGGACGGTAACCACGGCAACGAGCTGCCCAATTTAACCAACGCTTTGCCTCAGGGTGCACACGGCAACCAAGGTGAGTCTGAATGTGTTTGGGGTGGTGGAGGGGGGAGTCGCTCTTTTAATCAACTGTGCCACCCTGCAGCCTCCCAGCTCCCCTTTTTATTGGGCTTTGTGCAACTAATGGAATGGACCTAATGACATCTCCACTCACGACCCTTCTCCTCTCCGGCCTTCGTCCTTACTTTGCAAATCATAACTCTGGGCAGAATTGATGGAAGAGGCTCTGTTGAAAGTATTTGATCAGCTGGTGCTTCTATATGGGCTGAGAATTTTTTATTGGGTATTTTGCTATAAATATTCAGTGCTACTGTGCTGTAATTACAGACAAATGATGTTTCGACGGCAGTGCTTTTCTAAAGGGTTTTTTGAATGGTTCCTATGCCGGGGGTATAGATATAGTGACATGAATGGTATTACAGGGCGCTGTTACTCTGTTTAGGATATTTTTGTCAACCAGCTGTGGTTAGTGGTTTGTATTATTTTGACCAAAATAATCATTTTTTTTACATTACATGAAAAACTTGATTCATCAGAACACCGACAGAAACACTCATCTCGAACTGTGGTTAGTCAAGATCTTGACAGACCATAGTAAAAAAAAAATGTGATTGGTTATAGGCTCGTTTGCGTTCAGCCTTCTGCAGTATCAGCATTGTGGGAGCCAGTATTGTCATTTATATATTTGTATAACTTATGTAAAACTAGTACGATGGCAGATAAATGTCTGTAAAAGTTGCTATTGTATATAATAGAGTATTTCAGTCTGTATTGTATCTGTAGTTGTTATGGTATATAAAATAATGAATTATTAATCTTAAACATGATTTCAAACTTTTAAACAGTAGTATATCATTACCATTTATTTGATTTATAAAACCATATTGCTCATTAATTAATTGATTAATCAGACTGTACTGCTTTTTTGCTGTTTTCGTCTCACTTTTCCCGGTCCTAATCACTCCAAAATCTGTCTGTTCGATAAACATTTTCTTCTTTTATGGTGCAAAACAATAGAAGTCATACTGCCCCCATTGCTTCTTGTAGTGTACTGCAATCTGTCAGGTTATATGAACATTACTGAGCATTCTAGAGCACTTTTGCTTTTACGCAATCAGCACATTTTGCTTTTTTCCATAGACAGGCTTTTGTTGGCTGATTAGCCCTATTGAGAACAACCATGGCATTCCATTTACACTCATCCCTCTGCTCTCCTCCCTTCTCCCCCTTTCTCAGATTCAGGCACCCGGCCACACCGGACAGTGTTCACGCGGGCCATCGAGGCGTGCGATCTCCACTGGCAGGACAGCCACTTGCAGCACATTATCAGCGACGACCTCTATACCAACTACTGTTACCATGACAACACTGAAAATTCGCTCTTTGACTCCCGCGGTTGGCCCTTGTGGCACGGTAAGTGGCTCGAGTAGGGAAAAAAAGACATCTGTGCTGACTTGCTCCTTTGTCTGCTGTTTTCTATAGCATCAACAAAAAAAGAGGACAAGTTAAGGTAAAATAGGAGAAGTGAATTGTGTTTTTCAGGCCCTGTAAGACAAAAAGCAGAAAAGGAACAAAAAAGAAAATTTATTTATTAATCCCTCACCAACGCAGATGACTTTTCTGAGCAATGAAGGTTGTGCTTTCTGGTTGTATTTGAGGATGTGGAACATTTTAATTGAAGTTTGTTGAAAGTTTTGCTTTTGTGCCTGTACAGAGCACGTCCCAACAGCCTGCGCCAGGGTGGATGCACTGAGGTCCCACGGTTACCCGCGGGAGGCACTGCGACTGGCCATCGCCATTGTTAACACCCTGCGCCGGCAGCAGCAGAAGCAGCTGGAGCTCTTCCGGAACCACAAGAAAGGTGAGTCGACACGTGCTGTGATTCATCGATTCATCGCTAGCATTGCTTACAGCAGTAGTTTCATTTCAGTGATTTTCCCCCAAATACCCCAAATGTAGGCAGTCAGCCAGGTATGTTTGGCATCTAAGGATTACTCCTTCAGAATTACTAGGCTCATAAGTGATGGAAGCCTATATGAATTGAGCAAACTGTACACCTAAATCATCACTTGCTTGTCTCTGTTGCTTCTTGTTTAGTACACTTGCTTATGTGCTTTCTGACACGGTGACATACTGTTTCTATAAAAATTGGCAACAGCTAAAAACAGTAGTAGCAGCCAGCTTGATGCTTGAATTTTGTTTGTACTCTTGTCACACACATTTGATTCAACAAAGCCAGAGGTTTTCAAATCTGAACCTTGAATCCAGTTTTTTAGACCTTTTTTAAACCACTGATGGGTGACACTGGGTGGCCAGTCTGTTGCATCAACAGTCCAGGTAACTACTTGCGATTACAAAATCCAAGACTTGATTAAGGGTCCAGTTTTGAAGACCTCTACGCTAAACTGCGCAGGGCAGACCTGGAATAGAAAACCACTAACATAAAAGTAGGTGAACACTGGTCTTAGCATTGGCCCTGTCATCAGGAGATCGCGAATTTGATCCCTGCAGATCCCACAGCTGTCCATAGCCGGGTGTCCATGAGAGCATATTTGGCCTCGCTCTCTGTGGATGGGTAGGCTGGCCCTCCTTCTCTCCCATCACTCAGCACGATGCTAGCCTAGCCAGTGTGGGCGTCTGTTAGCTGATGTAACAGAATTGGCAGTGTTAAGTGTTCTCCTCCAAGCGTGTTGAGCTGACTACTCACATGAGCAGTTTGAAAAGATGTAATGACTCCAAGGAAGCAAGTGATAGACTTACAGCTTGGTAATATCATGATCTCAGCAGACATGTGCTGAGAAATACCCTCTGATCTCAGCAATGGGTTAGCAGTCATTCTTTTTGATTGTGTGTGTAGATACATATAAACAAGTATGTGTTTGAGTGAATGTGCCTATTTGCAGAACACCATTGCAGACTTAGCCCTTCACTCTGTTCTGAAGCTAAATGTCCACTCATGCCCAGTATGGCTGGGGTCAACTGCATTTAAATGTAAATGACTACCTGTTGTGGGACTAGTGCCCGAGCACGATTCACATTCAAATGAAGCGGCTCGGTGGCCAGCCCTGGGCCTGAATGTAAAGTGCCGTTGCAGTGATTTACACAGGAGCTGCAGAAACGCACACGTTCGCGCCTCTCAGGTGTCTGCAATTCTCCTCTCGTACAAAAGAGAAGTCTGGCAGAAGGTCACATGTGCTAGATATGAAAAATTCTCTCCAGCTGCCCATCCAGAGTGAAGAGCTTAAGTTATGACTTGCGTTTTCACACGCGCACATTCTTTAATGAAGCTTTGACATGTAACATCAGAAGAGTACAGACAGCACTGGACCTGAAAGCACATGAGTCTGTATGCTGCACAATGAAAGAACTCCTGACCCTGTAGTACTCTCTGTTAACAATATCTCTCTCACTCTCTTTTCTCCCTCTCTCTCAATTTTGCTCATGCTCTTTCTCTTTTTTTCTTCTCTCTCTATTTCTCTATCTCTCTTCTGTCCTCTTTCTTTCTCTCTCTCTCTCTCTCTCTCTCTCTCTCTCTCTCTCTCTCTTTCTCTCTTTCTCTCTCTCTCTCTCTCTTAGACCTGCTTCATAAAGGGATGACCTCCATCACTAATCTGGAGGGGTGGGTGGGTCACCCATTGGACCCCATTGGGACCCTCTTCAGCACCCTGATGGAGACGGGGCGGAGCGATGAGGAGAGCTCACAGGGGGGCTTTCTGGACTTCTCAGGTACACACACTCTCTCAGGAACAGCTGATACACAAACACACGTTCACAAGTGTTCACACATTGTGAAACCTATTTGATTGCTGAGACATGAGACTCTAATAATTAATATTCTCTATTAATTATCCAATAACTCTGATAATTCTAATGTGATCTAAACTTTTGAATGACAGTCAAGATTGTCAGCTACTTTATCACAAACCTTGGTCCTGGCTTAAACCTGTAGAAGTTATAATAACAGATTCATGCTTAACTCCCATACTTCTGAGTCATTCCACTGTAGTATTTATTTATAAGGGTTTTATAGTGGAGGACTGTAGTCTGCGCTCTCAGTCAGTGACACCCCTCCAATTAACCCTCATGTATTTCAGTTCAGTGCACATTCAGACACTGCTGCGTGTGAGTGACCCACACTGAAGAGGCTCTTTTAATCCATGCATAGAAGTTGGTGACTGTATTCTTCCCTCCTACATTTTTAATGCCTTTTAATTTTAATGTTTTTTGTTCTGCATCTCTTATTCATGAGCTTTGATTGGCGAGATGACTGTATCACAATCAGCGTGTGCCCAGGACCATAATTACGCATTATTGCTGCCTTCGGCCTCGCCGACTTCTTGGCTGGCATTGTCCAACGGGTGCAAGCACTCCCTTCCTGTCCTCACTAGGCCCCAGATCAAGATGGGATGGAGCACAAGGCTGTCAAGCTTTACTGGGTTTCCATGGCCTCTGAAGTAAATCTGGGTTTGGTGAAAAGTAGAGATGGGCATGTTAACTGGCTTTAGCATTTGGATAATAGGAATACTATTCAAAAAGCATAAAATGTTAGCTATACCTGATTGTCCAGGTGACTTGGAGCATGTAAATTTCCCCCCATTTTTACCATTATTATTGTTCCATATTAAAACTCAGAAGACTCATGTAAGTTAGTAAATAAAATGAGTACATTTGTGTTGTAGATATTGCAGCTCCTGGTTCCTATCAGCACCTCTGTAAAGAGATCGGAGTTGGTCAGTTTCTTCACAGTTGGTGACTGTACAAACTACAGATGCATCATCAGAATACCTAATACAGTAAACATGTACAGAGATATCTATGTATAATAACCACACACCTCCATAGTGGAAAGCTTGTATACCACCCCATCTCTGTGTGTCTGCTGGACTAGTAAAGGCTTTACAGCCAGACTGTTCTACACTTTATCTAGCTGTTCAGCCTGAGGCATTGTTTGGTTAATGTTCTGTCTTTTTGCGCCTGGCTTTGAAGTGGAAGCTTGGTTTATTAGTTGTATGGAGGGGGGAGGAAGTGTTAAAGGTGTGTGTGTGTGTGTGTGTGTATGTGTGTGTGTGTGACGCCTGGGTGCCTTGTTCGTGATTAGCATGTTAAACCCTCCCGGGGTCAGCCGCCCGAGTCCAAAGAGGCATCATTAAAACATTATGATCCTGCTTGCAATTATCCCCAAATGAGTTGGCATTGGTGGTAATGAATAATCTAGAACCTTGTGTCTGAGAGCGCTTTATTCTCGCAGTAAAGATAACGGTAATATGACCACAGGATCCGGACGAACAGGAACAGGCTTAAAATGTTGGTCCAAACCAAATTTAGCTCGAGATCTGCCCAAGTTGGACCTGACCTGATCAGCTGCACCAAATTTTGAACCCTGAACAACACAATGTTCCTAATACAAGCTGCTCAGTCATGTCAGCGGCAATATTAAAGTAAACTTGAAATCAGTTTTTTTTTTCTTAAACAATCATGAAGTACAAGCTGTTCATTTATCTGGAGACATTTCTGAGGAGATTAGATATTAGATAATCCACTTGCATAATGAGGGGGAAAGTCAAAGGAAAATAAGTGGAGAAATAAAACAGGAGTTTTCAAAACTTGAGTGCAAAAAAATTATTTAAAGATACAGAGAAAACGGGACTCCTAACAACTGTGCCTGGTAGACCCCCAAAACTGGCACCATTAGATAAACAGTACTGAAAGCATTTATCTTTGAGAGTGAGAGGAGAAAATAAAACCTTACATCTGAAGCCCACAAGTGATCCATCCCCTTTGGATTAATGTCTTTCTGTTACATCACTTCAGGTGTCTATTACACACATTTTAATTATCACCCACCATAACTCTTGAATTTTTTGTACAATTTTTGATCACTTATTATCAAAATGTAATAACTTCTGCTCATCTCTAAAACATCATCCAATAATATGTCTCTCCTCTACCTCCCACCACCCCCACCTGTCATCAAGCAAAAAACACTCCACTAATTCCACGTTTCACTTACTTTACAGAGGGAAAATGCATTATGAAATCAGATTCACTTCTTTACTTATAGCAACAGTTGTCAGTTCATAATAAAATTAAATAAAATAAAAGCAATTTTTTAGCTGTACAAAATTAATTTTCCATGTTAACAGATTTATTCATCAGTTTACATCTTCAAACAACTCTCTCCAAAGTTTTTAGTCTGGATAAACTGTACGTAAAGTGTTGTAATCATGCCCGCTGGAGCTCAGAGCTGTGAGAGGAGCCCATGCTGATCTGATGATGTGTGTGTTTGGTACTGGGTGAATGTGGGGTAGTTTAAGAAGGATTTGCTCTCTCATCCTGCTCTTCTGCTGCGGAGCTGATCCTAGCGGAGGGCTCTCAGGTGATTCATGCCTAATTTCAGTGCCAGCCTGAAGCCTCTGCTCTCATTTGCCAGTCATGACAGTAGTGAAGTGGCGGAGTCTCCATGGAGCCCGCGAGGCCGGCCTTTCACAGCCAATTAAAAGAGTGGATTTGGTGCTGAACTGGCAAAGACGTTCTGAGAGAGGCTCAGGGTAACGCTGGAGTTGACGGCCATGTAGCTGAAGAGCAGTGGAGGGTGAAGAGCTGCAGCTTAGCATCTTTCTCTCTTTCTCTCTTACTCTCTCTTACCTTTTGCACATTCTCGCTTTCTGTCTTCTTTTTTTGGCTCTCTCTCCTTTTTTGTCTTTTACTTTTTTTTCCCTTCTCCCCCTTTCTCTTTTTTCTTTCTCTCTGTCACTCACCTTCTGGGTCTCTTGCTTTCTCACTCTCCTCTTCCTTTCTTGCCTCTTTTTGGCTTACTTGCTCTTTATCTCTTCATTCCCTCTCTCTCTTCTTTTTTCTTTCTTTTACGTTCTTACTTTCTTTTCCTATCACCCTCCTGCTTGCTGTCTTGCTCTGTCTCTTTCATCTCTCTCTTTAATCTCTCTCACCTACCAACCTTACTCATTTTTCTCTTTTCTCCCTCTCCTTTTTCCTCTTTCTGTCTTGCTTTCTTTCACTGCCTCTCTCCTGCTTACTCTCACTTTCTTTCTGCTTGCTTTCTTTTTGTCTCTTTCTCTTACTTTCTTTTCCTTCATCCTATTTGCTGTCTCTCGCACTCTCTCATGCTGTCTTGTGTTCTCACACTCTTTCTCCTCTCACTCTCTTTCTCTTCTTGTTTCTTTCACTTTCTTTTCTTACTTCTCTCCTGCTTGCTTGTTCTCTTCCTCTTTCTCTGTCTCTGCTCATTCTCTCTCTCTCTCTCTCTCTCTCTCTCTCTCTCTCTCTCTCTCTCTCTCTCTACCTGTCTCCCCCCATGAGCCCATTTAAAACACCCTCCCAGCATTTCAGATACTTTTCTCCAGCTGTTCTTGTTATTTTGTAACCTGTGCGCTGCCCAGCCTGCCCGGCTCCAGTGTATTTGCAAGTCCAGTGGATTGCTTCCTTTCGCTCAGAGGGGTAATTGAGCGTGCCTTGCCCAGTGGCCTGGCAGAGAGGAGAGCTGCTTCATTAGGGAAAGCTCCATCCTCTCCAGTGCCTCATTACCATGCGTCCACGCCGGGCACCAGCTCCTGCGAGGCAGGTTTCAGCATGGAGGTGAACTGGTGATGGAACACTCACATTTTACGAATGATTGTAGAACAACTGTTAATTACTGAAGTTGCACCTCCAAAAAGTGAGCATCATAAGAAACTGTGGCTTATGCTTTTGTTAGGTAGCTGTTTGCAACCAGTGATGCTCAGCTGTTTAAGCCAGTCTTTCTAAAACACATGCAATGAACCAACATACATTACATAATTGACATTGAATATTATTAGACCATTAATCTGACTCTTAAACGTAATACAGAAAATGTTATACTTACTCATAAAGCAAAGTAACTGCCGTCTTTAACTTTATTAGTGTCTTCCTGTAGTGATTGATCAGTTTCCCAGCTCTATGGTGGATTTCTGACCCACTTCTTCATACAGAGCTGTTTGAACTCTGCAGTAGGCCTCTGTGAGTGCTTTGAAGTTTGCTTGTTTCAGGTCCTGCCACATCATCTCAATGGAGTTTAGGTCCTGATGGGGCAAACTGAAAACATTCCAGTTTCTTCTCCCACCTATATGCTTGAATTATGATGTGTCCTTGTTGTAAAGTGCTATATTTAGTTTATGCCAGACATAACAGACTTGGTCTCCTGGAAGTCTTGGTTTGATCTGTTTGTATACAGTGCCTTTGAAACTATTCATCCCTCTTGATAGTTTTCTGGATTATACAAATGATACTTGCACACAGTGTGTGCAATATGACAATATTTATTGTTATCATGATGAATTACATCTTAATTTGTCACATTGTGCTTTTTTTGAGCATATCATGAATATCAGTACTTTGAGAGCACTGACCAATTGCATGGTTACAATCAGTGCTCCACAGTACTTTTTTATTATTTAAAGTTTTTGATAGTATTTTTAAGGGGACACTACTGGCTCTTTTTTGCCTTTTATACATATCAGAGAAAATAAATATTGTGACATATTGTGTAATGTGAAATTTTCTTTAAATATTATGTTTTAGCCATATTGCCCACCAGTCCTTGCACACAATTTTCCAGTGGCTATTCTTCTTGTGGAATAATATGCTAAAAAACAGGTTTGAAGGCACAATCAGCAGTCTCTCTAGTAGTTAAATGTCAGCTATAGATGCTTATACATATTTCAGTTATTCATTTGCTTTAAAAATATCAGTGGACAATATTTATTTTGGCTTTGAAAATTTAGTGTTCAAGTATAGTTTCTGATAGAAAATACTGATAGGAAAAATGTGCATTTTAAATTCAGACATTGTTGATAACTTTTGCACTGTTTACCATAAATAGCATCGATCAGTTTGCAGTATGAGGTCAGCGCTTTTACTCCAGTTAATGCTTATATTAACATCCTGACTTCTCCCCCCCTCAGGCACGATGAGCTCCAGTAAGCATGCGGATCTGCACCTGTTTCCCTCGGCGCGGCGCTTTCTGGAGGAGGGCGAGTCCTACCTGGCCCTGGCGGTGGAGACGGCTCTGATGGGGTTGGGTCAGCAGAGGATCATGCCTGACGGCCTGTACGCCCAGGAGAAGGTCTGCCGCAACGAGGAGCACCTCATCGCCAAGCTGCAGGAGGTGGAGCTGGACGACTCGCTCATCAAAATCTTCCGCAAGCAAGCTGTCTTCCTGCTAGAGGGTGAGTTTGATGTTGCCACTAGAGGTTTGCTTAGTGTTGAACGAGAACATGTGTAGTGCAAGGGAGATTTACCTGAAGGGTAGTCATCATTCTGTTTTTTCATTTTACATACATTTAACATACTGTTCATGAGTTTTGAAGAACAAGGTAGATGCAACACTGAAAAAAACATTAGTGGATATTTCACATGTTTAATCCCCAGTAATGCCACAGCAATGTGTGGCCAGGAGTCCAAGAGAGCATAATTGGCCTCTGTCTCTGATGTGGTGGCGCTTCACGTGTCTTGGAGGAAGCATGCGCTAGCCTTCACCCTCACAGCATGTCATGGGGAGAGCTAGCTGGCTAGTCAAATTACATGGAGAGAAAAGCTCAAAAAAGGTTTTGTAACGGTTAGCAAAATGAAAGCTTCCATTTAAAGCAACAGTTCAGTTAACATTCACACATTTCCCCTCATTTTACAGAATCTGTAAAAGGCAAGTGTGTGATGATTTCGCTGTGCAGTTTGCTTGCTAATTGGGGTATATGCTTCCGTTACTTGTTAGCTAATTAGCTCCGTCGCTCAAGTATCAAAACTAAAAAGCAAACCATTGTCCTTGCTGATCATCTGTCTTTGGGATGAAGAGGAAAATTGTGCAAATTTGATTTTTTGCTGAACTATCATTTTAAGGAGGTAAAGGGTTACGTGGCCAAGCTTTTTGGTCCACAAGAAAATCCTTAGCTAGCCTTATTTGCTCAGTATTGTAGTTCCAATAGGAATGTTAGCATTCCTTTAACATGGCATGATTGAGTGCTTTGTTTTGTAAAACTGCGGGTGAGAGGATGGAATCCTGCGAGGCCTCGGGGGCTCTGGAGCTTTTTCTGAACGGGTAAAAGCACCCTCCTCCTTCATCATTCAAATACCTTTCATATTTCCAAGTCCGACAAGGCTACACGATATTGCCAATTCATTCCACAGAAATGACACTGTTTGTTTATTAAGGAATTGTTTTTTTTCATCTCAGTTCTCAATGATGCACTTGTTCTTTGAGCTGTTCTAAAGCATTGCTAGAGTCGAAAGCGTGCAGGGCTGTTTGCTGAGCTGCTAGCGGGCGTGGAAAGAATGCAAAATGGCTACTGCAGGCCGGCTGGCTCAGAGCACCGCTGGCTTGTTATGAAAGAATGACGGAAACTGATAAAGAGGCCGCTGCGTCCCTCCCTCCTCTTGGCCCACGCCAGGAGCCATCACATGGGCACAGGCAAACAGGAAAACACGCATGAGTGAGGGAGAGGCCCAGAGAGCCAGGGCCCAGGACACGCTGTAATGCACTTACCATGCTCAGCTGTGTGCATGCTTGTATTTTTAGTAGAGTATTTGTGTCTCAGCTTGGTTGCTTGTGTCTGGTATGTCATACACTGTTTCTCTTTTGTATTTTCCATACAGCGTTTATGTGTATCGGGGCGTTATATGTGCAGCCATTATGTCCTATAGTGTGAGTGCCTGTGTGTGTGTGTGTGTATGGGTGCGTTCAGATGTGTGTGCGTGTGTGATGTGGCCTGTGGTTTGAGCCCTCTCAGTCGAAAATAATCTAATGACAGAGCAAGCAAAGCCCTCACATAAGGCTTCTGGCATGGCAGTTTATTTTGTAGGCAAGTGTGAAAAAAGGGCCCTGGTGCACTTGAAAGTGGACGTGTGGTTGCATCTGGTTTGAGGATGAGAAGTGGGGGCCTGTAAAGCGGGCCATAAGCAGAGTAGCGTCAATGCTACACCAACCCCAGAAACGGTACGGTCCATTTAGGGCAGCTTCATGTTTCTGCTCCAAATGGAACAACTGGGAATGCGTTTTCTCTCCCAAAACAAATTTTTGTTGACTTTTTTTTTTTTTTGCTGCCTGTCTGAATCAGATTTGGGGGAAAAGGCAGTGATGTTGTTGGCTGTGTGGTTCTTTTTTTTCCTTAATGAGGAGGTAATGTTGATGTCTTGCACATGTTATACCAGTGAGGTGTGCAAGTTCGTCTGGAGGTAGAACAGGAGACCAGACCCAAATTTTCTCTCACACGCACCTTCTGACACTAGGGATGCACAGATCACAAATTTTTATGGTCGATTTCTTTTCAGTCAAGTAGGGGTGTAACGATTCTGAAACCGTAATTAGTTTTGGTAGCCTTTTTAATGTCAGCATGCAATATCAGTCATCTGGTCTTTAATTGTAGGGAGCTGTATTGGCCAATAACACTGGGTGGTGCAGTCTAAATCAGTTGCAGACCCCAGTATTGGCTGTTACTGTGACAATACTGCACAACATTTTTTGGAATATGACAACCCATGAGACTTGCATTCACGACCGTGTGACTACAGGAAAAACAAAACATGAGACTTTACAATATGAATACAATAGAATCGCAATATAAGTATTTTGTCCGTAATACACTCAACCCACAAATCTGTGACTGTTTAATGCACACTGAATGTGTGTAGTAATTAAATGCAGATGACAGCTTCTATACTTCAGTGGACTATAAAAAGACACTGTGTATGTATGTAAGTGGGTGTGTGTATACTCAACTCAATGCGTCTTTGTGTGTGTTTGTTTTGTCCCCCTACAGGTGGGCCCTACAGTGGTTTGGGGGAAATCATCTACAGAGAGAGTGTTCCAATGCACACGTTTGCCAAGTATCTCTTCACCTCCCTCCTACCTCATGATGCCGAACTGGCATATAAAATTGCACTGAGAGCAATGCGGTGAGTGCCTTCACTAAACACACGCACAGTACTGTTCCTCTTAAATAGGGCCGTCCCTGTCGAATAAATTAGTAAGGTAGTCCAGTGGCAAACCATGGCTAGGAGCTGGGCTTTCAGTGTGGGCCATAAATGTCAAAAAACAAAGGGGAAGAACACCTCTTAAATCAGGGGTGTCAAACTCAACGAGTGAAAGGGCCATGTTAGAAAATCTCAACAAATCTGTGGGCCAGAGAAAAAAAATGTTTTTATAAAATTTTTAATTGACTTTGTGCTGTAACTGTGTTAGAACTGAGGTGTAACCGGTGTCCCATAGACTGTTGTTGGGGTAGGAGAGTTAGAGCACATTACGTTGCAGTGCATGCTGGGGACTGTAGTGCATTGCATTGTGAAACAAGTTAATATTAATAGAAAATGAAAATGTTGTGGGCCGGATAGGACTGTGTCGCGGGCCTGATCTGGCCCACGAGCCTTGTGTTTGAAACATAGGTCTTAGATAATGCTAATTTCTGCTAGCACCTCTATGGAAGGTGCTTCTTGTAGGTCGTTCTATTCTAAAAGCAGTTCACATGAATATTATAGAGTGAAGTTCCACCCATTTGAAATCAAAATATTGATTCCACTGTTAATTCCTAAATGCGTTGGTGTTTAATCTGACCCCTTAGGCTGGCTACTAAAATCTTAACAAACGAGAGCTTGCTTTGCTTTATGTACTTGCCTAGCATGAAGGAAAAAAAAAGATTGATAATTCTCAATCGGGCATTTCAAGAACTTAACCCTTTGTTTCCAACCAAAACATAACAATGAATAAGAATATTACTACAGTAATGTATTTGATGATTTTATATTAAATGAAAAAGAACCAAATATTTCACAGAACCCATTAGGCCTTCTGATTCCCTACTGAAGTAATCTACTGATTTTGACAATTGAGAAATTTTTAAAAAGGACAAACCAAACAATGAAATGGACATAACAATAACAAACCATGTATCTTATTGTAATGCATTTTGCTGCTTGATCACTGCTGATTCACAAAGAAGCTGCATTTTAATCAGGTTTTTAAGGGATTGATCAGTTATGGTCTACTTCTAAAACCTTACGTCCACAACACTTACAGAAAACGGCATGCACTCTCAAACTTTTGTCTACCTCTTATTTTCACTCTGTCCCCACCATGAAGTGTCTGCGTGTGGGTGCAGTGATCTGTCACATTGTTTAATCAAACAGCACCTTCTAAAAAAAAAACTTGCTAAATAATTCATTGCTACTGAAAATTAGTTTTAGAAAAAGTGGGAATAACTATGTGGGGTCAAGTCTAATTTGGGCGCTGTCTCATTTTACACTCCCGTTTGGAAGTGTGTTAGTACGTGTTGGTGTGTGAAAATGCAGCAACACTACATGGACTGATTACATCATCCTGATGTTCATATGCAGTGAAACGATACTTCTTATTAATACTGCTAATAAATATGTGAAGTTTTATAGTGCATAATCATGTTTATGTGGATGTTTGCTGAAGTTTTTGTCTGGTTCCTTCTGTCCTAGCAACAGTACAAGCTGGTGATTAGTGGAGTATTTGCCAGACAAACCACTGAATCAGCCAAAATTTAAATAATTTAGATTTAAGCAAAATCATTCAGAATGGTTTGATGTGAAGTGCTCCATTCTGGAGAAACCTACCCAGTCAGCATTGTACATAGTGATTGTGATAAGAACCAGATGTCTGAAAAGTTTAATGCCTGTTATTACATGAAATGGTTATGAATCTACTGCCTGATGCCTTAGACATTGTTTTACGGTAGTTTTGATATAATGTTTTGATCTAAGATGTACATGCAGGGCGTTGTAAGGCAAAACAGTTCCCAAAATGTATACTTTGTAAGTCAGTAAATTTGTCTACACTGCACCATTTCACATCAAGCCCCTCTGACTAACTTTACATCTCAATAAAGTAATGATGTGGAATTAAAAAAAAAAATAATGATACATAAAATTCCCCTTTCAGCATCAGCTCAGTTGTTACTGCAAATTTGTCAACAGTTACGAGGGGTCGAAGAGACATGAAAAGAAACAATCAACACCATCCTGGTATTATCATAAAGTGCGAACTAAAATGGCTGCTTGCTGCTTTTCCTCGGCTTCCTCATTCCCCGTGGATGTTATTCAGTCACTCGATGTTTTCTCTCTCAAATACACCTCCAATACCAAACCCCAACAATATTGTATTGTGATTGGATTATATTTACCACAGATTTGCAGCGGGGGATGAGTGTGCAAAGTGAATTGAATCAAACAAAGATCCACCTAAATTTAGGTACGGTTGCGGCCCTAGGCTCAGTATCGACTCGCTCTATAAAAAGAACTTGCTGTCCAAATAACAGCTTTCTGTTGAATTGGCTTAGACCTGTGCTGATCTCCAGATACCATGTTTCCTTTTGCAGCCTGGATGGAAATTAGCAGCATACTTTACCATTTGGTGTGATACATCTGTGCTTCTGTGGGTGCAATGCAGATAATCCTGTGTCTGTCTCTGTTCCAAATATACAGCATAATCAAATTTATTAGGATTTATAGCACAATGTACAGGCCTTGCTATATTTTCATACTGTAACCTCTTAGCCCGTGGGACCAGTGTATTTAAAGCCTTACCCTTTTGAGTCTCAGAACTAGGTTTTTTATATGGAGCTGCGCAGTAGCCTGCGACTAATGGCCAATTTACCAAGGAGAGGGCACTATCTGGGCTGCTTCAGTCAAATGTAAACATCCATGCATAAAAAAAGCCTCTGAAAAACATACTCTCATTTTGGACTTGAGAGTTCTCCACACATCCTCTTAACCATGGTCCTAAAGCAACAGAACATATCCAGTTGGATGTGGATCAAGAACAAATTACGCCTATTGCCCTTGTAGCGATATTTGATAAATGCAGCGAGCGTCCGAACAAACGGCCTCCCTGCAGTGGTTCCTTAAAGAGACAGGCCCTTTGTGCGAGAGCCGTGCCCTAGGCCACCTCCAGGCTCGTGTTTTGCCGGGGTTTTAAATCCGCAGTAATAACCGTGGAGAAGGACAGCGTGGTCTTTCAGGGCCGAGGGGCCTGGGCCACTATTTTTCTGGAGCAGGTGAAAAGTTCAGCATTTTCCTCAGACGGTGACAAGAGCCAAGTGTGGAACTCTCCCAATATGGGCACTTGAACCTGATTGGTTCTTTTACTGCCTTGGTTTTGGCTATTTTATAGACAAAAGCATATCTGCTTATTTGATCCACAAAAACATACATGTATGTGAGTAATAATATTCAACATATACAAATGCATAATTTACTTCATTTGTATAAAGTGATGGTAAGTTTACCACTGGTCAATATCATAATTCTGTCTTCGGTCTTCTACATTGCCTAAAAGTTTGAGAACACTTAGCTGTGTGGGGGGGGGGAGAGCATTTTAGAGCGTTATAGCTATAATGTAAATAGCTGCAAATGACTTCATCTTAAAACTAAACTGAAAAGTAACAGAGGAAATCAAAGATTTACTCAAATGTATTTCAGACTTGAGCTCATTAAACCAGTTCTGAAGAGGCTGTTCCCCCACCCTGGCCTTCAGGGCCTCATACCTAAAGAAGTCCAGTGTGTTTACAGGGAAAGAGGATGGGCTTATTAAGTCTAATCAGCCAGCGAGCCAGCTTGGGGAGATGAGTTCTGATATCCTCCCTGGCTACAAAGTTGATGAGACCACTGCATCACCATGCTTGTGTACAGTCACTGCATTATGAGCTTGGTATGAACAAGCAAAGATATCCCTTAGAGGTTTGTACTGTTGACCTAGGACAGTCCCTAAATCATTACTGATGCTGAGAATTATAACCTTCTAGACCTTTCTTTGTTCAAAACCTAGTATGAGGAGCTTTGTGTGAGGAGCTAAATTTTGTGTCTGATAATTTAAGCCACCTCTGTGCGAGTAACTTGATGTTTTTGTTGATTTTGTTTTGTTTTTTTGCTTTAGATTACCAGTGTTGGAATCCACCGCTCCTTCCGGTGACATGTCCCGGCCTCACCATATAGTATCCGTTGTTCCTAACCGCTACCCACGATGGTTCACCCTCAGCCACATCGAGTCCCAACAGTGTGAGCTGGCCTCCACCATGCTCACTGCAGCCAAAGGTTAGATGCCTCCCACACTGTCTGAACACAACTCATTGGCCAGCACACCCATCAATCAAGCCTAAGTTGCAATTACTGTCAGAAGACGACACTTTTCTTAATCGCAGGTTTCCCCACTGAATTTCCGTCTCTGGCTACCTCCGAAACTGAGTTACAAATCCAGATGACAAACAGTGCAATTTGCTTCCCAGTCATTGCAAATGAGAATTTGAAAGGTGGTGTAATTGTAACTTTTGAAATTATTTTGAAAGCTATAAACCTGAAATCTCCTGCAGACCTTGACCCCTCACTGATTAAAATCACCCCAGTGTCTTTGACCTAACTCTTGTGTGTGTCAGTGTGTACACACTGAATAATCAAACCAGCTGCCGTAGCTTGACACTAGTGCTGACTCACTGGGTGATTATGCAGAGGCGTGTGTGTGTCTAGTGTCTTGCTATCTGAACAGCAGGAGGCGCCTCAAACGTCAAAGAAAGTGAAAGAAAAGTGGACATGGTCAGTGGTCATTGCTTACATACAGGATGAAATGACAAGTGATTTGAAATTAAAATCAGAGTGGAATTCAAATAGCCAGGGCCTGTTTGAATTCCACTGTGAATAGATCTTCTTGGAGGCAAAATGTTCTGGAATCCAAGCATTTTCATATCGTCGCTGTTTAGAAAAAAGCGTCTGCATTATATTTCTACATCATTTGAGCACAGCATCTGCTCTTTACATTGTGTGAATATTTCATGATGAATAGATCAATACACGTGCTCCAGAATTGCTTGGAATAAAATCTATTTACATTAACTTACATGAAAAGTAATGTATGAAAAGTACTTACATGAAAAGTAATGTAAGAGGTATGTTCTTACCTTCTCCTGCAAAGTTGCTATTTTTGAGATTCTTGTTTGATTAGTTCAGATTAACCTCAGTTCGGAACAGTTGTTTGGGAAAGGTGCACTGTTGGTGAAATGTTTATGCGATAGGCAGCACGTGCAGTAGCTGAGAAGATTAGGTTGTGTAGCTGAACTGACATGTATCTTGGACTGCATTGTGATCATAGCTACCTGTCTGCTGAATGTAGAAGATCAAGCCACTGATTGAGTGTCCAGGAATTTTACAGAACTGAGGTAGCAACCCTGTGACAGCCCCTCATGATGGCAACAACTGATTCATTGCTGATTTAAAAAATAAAAAATAAAAAAACACTTTATTTAATTATTGATTTCATGCAAACCAATGCAAGACGGTAGTATTCCCCCCCTGGTGGAACACAGTGGAGCTTTTAAACATGTTGGGTGATGTCCTACATTAATACCACATTTATTCTTAACATAGATGAAAGGCTAGAAACACAGTTGTTGAGCTGTGCTATTTTGACGCTCTGTGCAAGGACATCCTCAGACCACAGCGTCAGGGTACAGACATCAGGCAAAACAGATTTGAGACTCAGAAAAAACTTTTTCTCTCAGCTTTCAGTCAGGCTAAGCTAAGTGACTACAGATAATAATATTCAGAGTTAATTTTTTTACTGACAAGTTACACTTTCATGGCAAAAGTAATGATGACAAACTACTACTACTACAGTAATGCCCAATCACATTTCTTACTTTTACCCCTGCCCTTTTTTTTATGAGGGTCACTTTGCCTCTTGGAACTGAGTTACAAGGGGTAGTCTTCTCCTACGAAATGGGACAACCCTCAAATAAAAAAGAACATTACTTTATTAACAGGCCACTAGTCGAGCTCTGTAGGCAGCCCTGCCAGTCTGCAGTGACAGCAGAGGAGGGTAAAGTTCAGCAACTTTGATTTCAGCGTGAAATCTGGTGATGCTGTTGACCTTTTTCTAGGAACTGTTGGTACCACTGACGAATGCTCTGAGCTGTTGGAGGTTCACTGTCAGAAACTCTGTGACCCCTCTTTTAATTGGTATATGATTGGTTCCTAGCGCCTCATGGTTATAAAAATATGGCGCTTTGAAATTGGATGAATCTTTTTTGAATCACCCTGTATATTGAAACAACATTAAAGCTAAGATAACACAATGGTTATCAGATTTTTTAACTGAGAAAATACTTACATTTCTTTGGTCTTTCTTTACTTACATTTACAAATACTTACATTTCTTTGATTTCTATTAGTAGTTGTAGTACAGGTAGTAGTCATATCTCTAAGTACATTTGCTCATGCTTCTGAACACCTCAGGAAGAATCAGCAGATGTGCTTACAAAATTAATAAGAATAATAATTATAGCAACACTTTTTTCCCAGTAATTTCGAGAGTGTCCCTCACTGAAGTGGATAGCATGTGAGATGAAGCTTAATCTTTGTCAAATAAAAAGCAAAGCCATGGAAAACTGAACAGTTTATCTGTGATCAGTTTCCACACAGTTATCTGAATAAGAACATTCTGTTACTGGAACAGGCCTACCTACAATATTTGCAGTAATGGATACTCTCTGTTGGAAAATGCTATCGTTTGGTCCTCCTGCCACAACACGTTGTAATCCTTCCCAACCCTTTCAGTCCTTATTAGCATCCTGGAGAGGTAAACATTTTATTTATGTCCCCTTTTGCTTTTAGGTGATGCTCGAAAGTTGGAAACAGTATTAGAGTCCATCCAGAAGAACATACACTCGTCCTCTCATATCTTTAAACTAGCGCAGGATGCCTTTAAAATAGCCACACTCATGGACAGCCTGCCTGACATCACTCTGCTGAAAGTGTCCCTGGAGCTGGGCCTTCAGGTAAACACTCTCTCTCACTAATCTCAACCGAAGGCTCCTCTGCTTAGTCATGCCATGCCTTTCTTTCTGTGGTGTTTTTCCCCCTGCATTTGTCACTGCCATCATATCGCACTCTCTTTCTCCAAAAGGTTATGCGAATGACGCTTTCAACACTGAACTGGCGAAGACGAGAGATGGTACGATGGTTAGTCACTTGTGCCACAGAAGTGGGTAAGTTAGAGCGTCTTAGTGTCATTTCTTAGTGTCAGTCCTGTTAGCTCTGGACAGATAGCTAAAAACAGAACTAGCAGAATTCCTGAAGCCTGAATTTTGTCTACACTTCGTTCATTTTAACAGGTCAATACAGTATGAGGGAAATGTGTGATGATTTAGCAGTGATTGGGGTGTAAGCTTCTATTACTGGTTAGCTACATTAGCCTTGTAGCTCCTGTGCAAAACAAAAGAAGCATACTTTGGACACCAAACAATTCTTGGCTTGTTTTTTTACTGAAATATTCTTTTAAAAGCTAGTTTTTGATTGGACGACTGCTAATTTCAGTTTGTTGCTCTTGGTCTGGACATGGTGGCTAATTCCTATTCTGGTTCTTTGTAGGAGTCTACGCACTGGACAGCATCATGCAGAGCTGGTTTACCCTCTTCACACCCACAGAGGCCACCAGCATCGTGGCTACCACAGTCATGTCAAACAGCACCATCGTCCGGCTGCACCTGGACTGCCACCAGCAGGAGAACCTGGCCAACAGTGCGCGGACATTGGCGCTGCAGTGTGCAATGAAGGACCCACAGAACTGCGCCCTGTCAGCCCTCACACTCTGCGAGAAGGACCACATCGCCTTCGAGACGGCCTACCAGATCGTGCTGGATGCCGCCACCACGGGCATGAGCTACACGCAGCTGTTCACCATCGCACGCTACATGGAGCACCGTGGCTACCCCATGCGGGCCTACAAACTGGCCACCCTGGCCATGGCCCACCTCAACCTCAGCTACAACCAGGACACGCACCCAGCTATCAACGACGTGCTTTGGGCGTGCGCGCTCAGCCACTCGCTGGGCAAGAACGAGCTGGCCGCCATCATCCCCCTAGTGGTCAAAAGCGTGAAGTGTGCCACCGTGCTGTCGGACATTTTGCGGCGGTGCACGCTGACCACGCCTGGCATGGTGGCACTCCACAGCCGCAGAAACTCTGGGAAGTTGATGTCATTGGACAAAGCCCCGCTAAGACAGCTCCTGGATGCCACAATTGGGGCGTACATCAACACCACACACTCACGGCTAACTCACATCAGCCCGCGCCACTACAGCGAGTTCATCGAGTTTCTGAGCAAAGCCCGAGAGACGTTCCTCATGGCGCACGACGGACACATCCAATTCACACAGTTCATAGACAACCTAAAACAGATATACAAAGGCAAAAAGAAACTGATGATGCTTGTGCGAGAGAGGTTCGGTTAAGCCGTAAATCTCCTTCTTTTCTCCTTTTACTTGAGTCTGCCTTTGTATCCTTTCTAAATTAAAGCAACGAGGAAAAAAAATAGGGGAAAAAAACAGAAAATGAAACAACAAAAAAAACAGTAAGAGCCACACCGGTATTATGTGTATAGACTTATTTAGTTCGCGAAAAAGGAAAAAAAAATTGTCATGTCGTGGAAGTTTTATGTGTTTCCCTTTATTTGTATGGAAGTGCGTGAGAGCGATAAGAGGGGAAAAAAGAAAAAAAAATTATTTTTTTTTGGTTTACACTGAGTATATGTTGTCCAGTGGCAAAAGCCCACATAGCACTCCAGATATCTCTGTCAACATTCACAGCCTCAAAGAGAAGAAAAATGGCTTTAAACCAAACAGAGCACCTCCATCCTAAGTGACAAGTACCTCGTATGGCTCCAGCTTTACTCCTTCCTAATCCATTCACACATTATCAGTGTACTAAAGAAGTGTTGGATACGAAGAAAAACAACTAAAAACCAGTTTGGGACATGTAGTAATTTTTTTTTCTTTTTCCTTTCTCTTCTGTTTGTACCAGGCTAATCACGTGGCTTTGCAGTGCTGTTCATCCAGAAGCATGTCACATATTACACAGATGCTCACAGATACACCTAGAAAAAAAAAACCCGTTGTGCTTGCGCTTGTGGAAACTTTAGCGACTGTCGACATACATTCTCAGGGATTTCTCAAGAAAAAAAAGGAAAAAAAAAAAAGAAAATGATCATGAAAAAAAGAATGAGAGCATTTTATTGTACTGTATATATGATAGTATATGTCTGAATATTGAAAAAAATGTATACGTTAACTAATTTATAAAAGAATATTCTATGTAATGCAAAATACTTGAAGCTGCAGTACCTTGGTTTAAAAAAAAAAACATATCAGAGGGACTAAAAGTGCGCCTTGCTTCAGGGGGCTGGAATTGGACAGTGGACTTTTGTACGCTGGGTACCTATGCAGAGTCACCTTATCCGACTGCATGATCCAACTGCTATATTGGGGTAAAAAAAAAAAAATACACGAACGGGGGTTTGTGTTTTGTACGTATATACAAAATGTATGTATCCAGTGTACACCCAACTGTACAGGGCACCAGTGAATATAGAGCAGCGGAAAAAACAGTAGTATCCAGTTGCCGCCCTACAGACCAAACCATCGGCTAGCAAAGCCTCAGTTTGGCCAGAAAAAGACCCAGCTGGTGTGAATTTTAGCCAATTAGCTATTTAACTAAAGTGTTGGTGAGGTATCTCATTAACATTGGGTAAAATGGATAAGGTTAGGGCTATGGTTAGTTACTTACCCAACTATGTTAGCTACAAAATGAAAGGCTAAGGTTAGCGACACTCTCCCCACCACGTTAGCTAGCTAGCTAACACAGAGAAAGGGTGATTTTAAGTTATTCAACTTTATAACTGTGTTCCTGGAGCAAACCTAATCTGAAATACTCTATTAGTGCTAACATACTTTTACCTAACAGTGTTGTGAACTACCTCACCAGCACTTTAGCTAGGTAGCTAACTCTGGTGTTGATTAAAGTGTTGGTGAGGTAATTCACATTAATGCTGAGTAAAATGGATAAGATTAGGGCTATGGTTAGTTACTTCCCTAACCAGGTTAGCTACTGTAAATTCTTTCCTCAAAATGAAAGGTTTAGGATGAAAAGCTAAGGTTAGCGACACTCTCCCAACCACACTAGCTAGCTAGCTAACACAGAAAGAGTGATTTTAAGTTATTCAGCTTTATGTAACTGTGTTCCTGGAGCAAACCTCCTCTGAAATAGTTTTTAGTGCCAACATACTTTTACCTAACTGTGTTGTGAACTACCTCACCAGCACTTCAGCTAGCTAGCTAACTCTGGGGTTGATTAAAGTGATGGTGAGGTAATTCACATTAACACAGTAAAATAGGTACTGTTATGGCTATGGTTAGTTACTTCCTTCACTTAGCTGCTGTAAATTGTTCCCTCAAAATGAAAGGTTTAGGATAAAAGATAAGGGTAGCCACACTCTCCCAACCATGTTAGCAAGCTAGCCATAGAAAGTGGCTAGCTTACTACGGAGTACCTTCTCTGAAACAGTTTATTAGCATTAACAAATGTTTGCCAGCACTTCACCTTGCTAGCTACCTTGAGTAGCTCGCTAGCTAATGGGCTAATTTCTACCCAAGCCGAGCATTTGCCCAGCCAGGGGCTTCGTCTGCAGGGCAGCAGCTAGATGTCACTCCGAAAAACCAGAGCAGCAAGCCTTAGCATTAAGAGATAGGGGAATGCAACAAATCGCAGGCCCGTGTGCCTCAAAAGCGCCTAGAAATGTAGATTCAAGCAGAAACCGAAACTTTTAGTAAATTAACGTTCCGAGCAAACACACACACTCGCGTGCGCAGTAATATCGGCCTGACCACATTCACGTCTCTTTCCACGACGATTGAGTCACGAAGAAGCTCCATTTGTATTTGTTTTTTATGCACAATAACACACGCCTATTCTGCTGACATCTTGACTTTGTGCAGGACAGAAAGTTGCTGTGTAGGTCTGACTGTTCGACATTTTTTTAACGCTTTCCTTTTTTTACGTTTTTTTTTTTTAATTATTATTTTGATTTCGTTCCTCTAGAATTCCTCAAACAAGAACAGCCTTCTTTCTTGCCTTGTCTTAACGCTTTAAAATAACCAAACTGGAGTTCTAACTTACCAAACCTTGTTCATTAAAATGAAAGCCAACCAACTTTGGTTACAACTTTTAGTGTCTTTTTTTTTATTTCTAGCTGATGGTTCTGTACCTTGTGCTTTAAAAAGCAGTTTTCCTATGTTTTTTGGTGCAAAGCGTTGTCGAGTGTCTCCTGTTCCCTTCCTTAGAGGTATGTCTGTAGCTCTTTTTTTGTTTGTTTGTTTAGAAACAGAAATACCATGTTCTCCATTTTATTTATTATAAAAGGTAAACGATTGTACTTCATCACCCGTGTCAACATGCTCATGAAGTTGAATTTAAGATTTGATACACCGATATCAATTTATTTATGTAACTAAATCACTGTTTTATAAACTTGTTAATGATTCAACATTTTTTTTTGTTTTAATTAAAATTAGTTTTTTGAGAGGAACATTTGCTCTGAGGGTGTTTGTTTCCATAACCATTTGAAAAACATTTATGCTGTCAGAAAAATGTCCCCCACATTACAATGTAAATGTAAAACCCTCAAAGATACCATATGGTCCTTAAGGTCTGGTTGTTTACCTTCACTGAGGTTTAAAGGTACACTGCATTCACTCTTCCAGGGCACAGTTGCATAATTATAACAATAAATTTTATTTTCCTATTTAAAACAAAGTCTAGAGTCCAGACAGAGTCAGAGGTCCTACACGGGCGAGAAATTGAAGCCCGATTTGCTGATGGTACATAGCAGAGAACAGCGTCACCATCTGATCAGCTGTGCTAAAGTTCTTCTCGCTACTGCTGCTACTGCAGAAATGCCTCACACACATCAGATGAGCTTAACACACTCAAGGGGAAAGATCTGTTCACCATCCATGGTGTGAATGCGACTGATATACTGTTAAACTTCATCCACGGTTTTCTTCAGGTGCGTGTTCACCCACTGCTCAAACTCCAGAGCTATACCGATTTTATATAGCGCAGAGAGAGAGACTGAGAGAGTGTGGAACAGAAAATGAGTGTGTGAAATTTACATCAAAGTAATCTTTTAAAAACATGTGCCACATAAAAAGTCACTCATTAGAAAACAGAACTCAAGTAATGTGAAAAAAATTGCAGAAATACCAGATATATTTGCCCTTTTGTCCATTTTTTTCTTTTCTCCTTCTTTCTTTTTCCTTTTTTATTTCCTTAATTTTCATTTTCTTCTTTTCCCTTCACTTCCCTTTTCATTTTTCCTTGCTTCTTTTTCTTTCTCCCTTTGTTCATCCCTCCTTTTTCCTTTACTTTCCTTCCTTTTTATTTCTCTGTCCTTCATGCTTTCTTCCTTTCTTGCATCCCTTCCTTTTATTTCTGATCTGTTCATCTTCCGTTCTTTCTTTCTGTTTTTCTTTCATCCCTTCCTTTTCCTTCACTTCCCATTTGATTGATTTCTTCTTTGCTTCTTTTTTCTTTCTTCCTTTTGCTCATCTTTTTCCTTTTCTGTTTGTCTTTTTCTTTCTTTGTTTCTTTCTTTCTTTCACTTCCCCTTTTATTTCTTATTTGTTTCTTTTTGCTTTCTTCCTTTCGCTCATCCTCCTTTCCTTCTTTCTTTGTTTTTCTTTCTCTTTTTTCTTCATTCTTTCTTCCTTTTTCATCCCTTCTTTTTCAATCACTTCCCTTTTATTTCTTCATTGCGTCTTTTTCTTTCTTCCTTTCTTTCCTCCCTTTTGTTTTACTCTAATTTCCTTTTTTCATTCTTTTTCTTTCTTCCTTTTTAATGCCTTCTTTTTCTATTTTTCCTTGTTTTTTTTGCCTATCTGTCTTCTTAATCTCGTTCCTCTGGACTCTAGTCTGAACATTTTTGGTGTTCTCCCTTATCTAGCACACATGATTCTTCTCATCAGCAACTGAACTCCTCCTCTTCCACATTACAGCAGAGAAAGCATACACTGGCAGGGCTGGGGTGGTCAGGCTGAGAACGGTCAGCACTGCAGCAGCTCTGCTGAGTGTCTGATGGGAGATTTAACAAGCCTGTTGAAGCCCAGAGGCCCCACCGGCCAAAGCTAGACAACAATCACCCATCTACCCTTAACTAACTAAACAGGAAGTGGGGAAAAATGGCTGCAGTGGAAGATTGACACCCCCACCGCCCCCTTATGTTTGGAGTGTAAAGATAAGCTTGGCTGCACTTAAAAAGGCTGAGCCTGTCCAAAAGAACCTCTTGTGGTCAACGTTTCTTTTGATGGCCAACTTCCAGGCATTAACAAGCCAAGGGTTTAAACTCTATTGAGGTGTCAAGAGAGGAAACTTGGGTGACTGTTAAACACTGTAGGAAGAAGTGGGAATTTACCCTCATTTTCATGTTCTCACACTGATAAGAACCTGCATAGTGTTCTGATTTATTACTGGGTTTTATCATTGAGCTTAATCTGAGTTTAAACTCAGTGGGCCTCATTCACCAACATCTTAAGTTTTTTCTTAAAAGAAAGGTCCTAAGAAAAAGTCTTCGTCAGATTCATGACATGTTCTTAAACTGCAGAGTGTGTGTAGATTCTGGTCTTACCTAAAAACAAATCCCAAATAACAAATTGGTTAATGTCAGGATCTTCATCAAAACTGCGTAAGTGGGTTTTAATAAGAAATTTCTTCGTAAGAACGGTTGGTGAATGAGGCGCAGTGTGTTTACATCCACACTAATAGTCCAATAACATTAGGACTATTTGAAAAATCATGAAAACACAATACGGTTTCATTAATCAGGGTAAGATTTTAATTATGACAAGCCAAACTTGATTAACACACCTAGATTTCAGGGGACTTTCAAGTGGCACAACAGTCTAAACATAAACAAAACCACAAGAGTCATCAAACATGGAAGAATATGTTGCGTAAAGGTTGTTAAATGCTTCAAAGGAAACAAATTTCTGCCTAATGGTTCAATTAATCTTGCATTTTTAGTTTTTTGTGCACTTGTCATGACCAGAGTACATCACTAATAAAAGTAGTTTATGGAGAAAAAACCCACAAGAAATCTGCAACTTTTGCACAGATCCCATGTAAATGAAGTGTGTTATTACTGTTTGTGTAAATGCTTAAGTTGAATTATTACCATAACCTTTTTTTTTTTTCCAGTAATTGAAGTATTGTAGGGCATATAAATGCACTCACAGTTAAATAACCATGCACTTAAGAGTCTTGGCATGATTAGATCTAATTTCACATATTAAAGCAATGAAAACAGCAGCTGCGATTACATTGAGAGGTCTTTTCATTATGAATGGACCAATAAAAATGGTCCAAAATTGCCTAAAACATTCCATGAACTCACATTAACATTATAGAAGGAGAAACATTCTTAAAGTTGCCATTTCAGAGACTCAAAGTTTTCCCGTGACAGTGATGATAGGAGAATAACCTGATGAAAAACTGCTCAGAAACAGTTCCTACTGTGTTTTCTTGTTAGTTTTCGTGCTCCTCGTCAGTGAAATGGACAGATGGGCACTCGCTAACCACAATTTCTCTCCTGCTCCTGAGAGCGCGGAGTCACAGTCAATCCAACATGGAGCACTCTGCCCAGACCAGCAGTCCCTCAGTACTTTTGGAAGAACAAACTGTAATAGCCTCAGCCATAATACCCATAAAGCAGCCGAGGCCTGTGAGGTCTACTCCTGCCAAAGAACAGCAGAGCAGGAGGCCTGGGGTTTGAGGAGAGATCGCCAAGCGCTCGAGTGTGACAGTGAGAAATTTCTCTTTTTTTAAGCTTGCGTTTGAGCATTTAATTGAATCTTCTGCAAAGCCTTGAACACGAAACAAGAAAAGGGGCACACAGACATTACACATTTCTACATTACAGCTAGAATATGTAGTGCTTTAGAGCTTGAGTCAGATATGGTACAGCAGGAGACATTGCCTGTCATGAATTTGGAGTGAACTATAAGCTACTTAGCCTCTCTCACTTTAATATATAGTGTTTATTAAGGTTATGGACAATGCAGAGTGGTCTCTGCTCAACAGTATCCAACATTCTATACCTATAATGATTATGAAAAACTTTTTTCTGCTGGTGTTCTCAGAACAATGGACTGACCAACCCAGAGTCCAGACCTGAACACTGATTGTGTTTAGAATTATTTGGATTGTGAGAAGCTGAAAATGCAACCAACTTCTAAGACTGAACTTTGGAGGAGTGTGGAAAATTTGTAGATTTATTTGAAAAACTGAAAGTATGTCTCCCGATAAGAACGTGAGCTGTAGTAAAGTGAACAGTGGACACACTAAATATTGGAAATTTTGATATTTACTTGTTGAGACTTGAGAAGAACAAACGTTTGGACCATTTCTATTGAAGCATAAATAAATAAAGCAAACACTTTCTAAAGGAGAGCTATTTAACGAGTTATTTTAAAATGGTATTGAAAAGTACAACGGAAGAAAGTTTGCAAGGTTTTGGTACCATGCAATGTCTTCCTCTTCCACTGCTTCCACCCTGCCCTGTTGGTAAAACTGCCTCTTTCCCTGTCCCGGAGTGGCCAGTGTTTACACTGGCCACAGAAGATATGCTATCTGCTTTGGCATAACAGACCCTGCACTATGTGCTTCCTCTAGTGCAGGAAATTCAGGTTGTAAAAGTTGCCTGTTGACAAGTGCTGCTAGTGCAGACCTTTAGTGCATGGCACCGGTGAACTTTGATCTTTTATCACGAGACATCCAGGCCCCCAGTGCCCTGCAATTACTGCAGGCCCAGGACGGGCCCTCTCTCAGGTTTAATAGGAGAAACAGGAGCCGTAACAAAGAGCAACTGAAGCCACTGCAGTTAGGTACACCACAACCCACAGCGCTGGTATTCACGCCACAAAGCCCTTTAAATAGCTCTGAGCCTATCGAAAAAATATTATCCTCTATAGTGACACACATTTTTGGTTTTAGATCAAGTCTCTGGCACCCCG